TCCGTCCCTCCTTTTAATTGGAAAAGAACATTATGCACAGATTAGGTAAAACAGAGTAATTCATACATTGAGTAAATAAGATAATCATTAAAATATATTAAGAGTGCTGCTGAATCTGATTAAAGATTCATCTATTCTTCCATTCTGTTTCCAGCAGTGACCAGATGCCAGCTCCATACTAGGGCAATTTAGTTTCATCAAGTTGTATCCATCTGCTAGTGAAATGGCCACTGTTGTTGGAATAGATTTCTTCCCATCTCTCTTCAGCTCTCCCATATAGAGATTTGGGAAAATACTATAAGTGGGAAGATATTTATGTAGAGAGCAAGAGAGGAAGGAGAGGCCCTGCCATATGTGTGGAAGTCTGCTTGCCAGATATTGGATATCACACTTTTATTTTAATCATACAGCTTGCTATACCAGCAATATTACTTGCAGTGGGAAACAAGGTTCCCTCTAAGTCAGGCATGTTTGTGGGCAGGCATGACTCCACTTCCTTCCGAGCAGCTCTCTTCCTCCTCTGGGCAGCTATCACATTCAATTGCATTCAACCCCTTTGGTTCTGTTTGCAACAGAACCCTGCACGTGGGGGTGTGTGTGGAGTCATGCTTGCATGCAGGGATGAAGTTGTGTGCAAGAGAGATGGGGCCTCGCCCAGTGAGGCTGAAAATTAGAGGGTACATTGGTGGGGAAATCTTTTACCAGGAAAGTATTACAAAACATTATCCTATTCACTGGTCTTACAGTGAGGGTATCCCAATGTGGCATGAACATGCACTGGCACAAATGGTAGTCAATTTTGGGCTTGTCTACAAGACTCATTTGGAGTGAGCTGGATGGGGCTAAATAATGTTGCTTAAGGTCAGGTAAAGGTCCAATGTGCTGTTTGGTGTGAATCTTGCATGCAAATGGCAGGCACATCTCAAACAATCTTATTGACCTGGTCTCTTTAAGAAAACAAAAGGACAAGGGGGAAAACATTCTTGCCCCCTCCTATTTCCTCCCACTTCTGGGAGGAAGATGTAATTTTTAAAAAACTTTTCTCTAAATAGTGTAGTGCATCAGTGCTGCCCTAGTAGAGGAAGGAAATTTGTAATGTGCCAATTTAATTTTCCAGTTCCTTCATATCAATAAGCGGTTACAATGTCTGTTTAATCTTCTAATGATATGGGGATATTAAAACCAATTGGGAAATTAAAGCTCACTTTGGTGTGATCCTAGCGATTGCATACACTGAAAATAAACCAGAATGGATTGACACTACCCATACCAAAAACAAACAAACAAACAAACAAACAAACAAACAATAAACAAACAAAATAGAAAAACCCAAGCAAAAACCAGAGGTCCCTGACAAGGATCTAGAAAAATGTGGGTAGGAATGCTCTCAGGCTGGTTTGCTTCAGCAATTATGTTGTCTGATCACCAGAAAAAGGAGCAAACTGCCTTGTTTCCACTGCAGAGCAAACAGCAGAACAAATGTACATCTGATCAAACCCTTAGACTTGCAATCAGTGCTGGGGTTATGGTAACAGGTGATGCTGTTCTTTCCCTTCAGCGTTGCCTGGGGGCCGTACTGCAATGGATGCAGGAGAATGGAATGAGGCTGAATCCGGATAAGATGAAAGTTCTGAGGGTGGGTGCCCCCGTGGTAGGTGGCTTGGGTGGCTCTCTCACATTTGGGGGGACCACCTTGGCCGCGAAGAGTGGGGTCTGCAGCCTCGGCATATATTTGGACCCGACGCTCACCATGGAAACTCAAGTGGCGTCGGTAGTCCACACCGCATTTTTCCATCTTTGGCGGATTGCCCCGCTGCGACCCTATCTCGACATGGGGGTGCTCACTACCTTAGTGCATGCACTCGTAATCTCAAGATTAGATCACTGTAACGCGCTCTACGTGGGGCTGCCTTTGAGGCTGACACGGAAACTTCAGGTGGTGCAGAATGCGGCGGCCAGGCTCCTTACAGGAGTGAGAAAATATCAACACATC